CCCAGCTGTTCAACCTCCCGATTGAGGAAGCCGCCAAGGCCCTCAACATCGGCCAGACCATGCTCAAGCACTACTGCCGCAAGTTTGGCATCCCGCGGTGGCCCTTCCGCAAGCGCCAGTCGATCGGCATCCTCATCTCGTCCATTGAGGACTTCTCGCGCAACAGGCCCGTCAACGTGAGGCGACACCGGCGCCACGCGCGCCGCTCCCCTGGCCCTCCTTGGCGTCTGTGCCACACACACACTCACTTCAACTTGCGCACACACGCGCACACACACACGTGCATTCTCACACACGCACACACTTCCTCTCACCGTCTTCCCTTCCGTCCCCCACCCACCCCTCCCCTCAACAAAACCAACCAGGTCGAGCCGGCCCTGGCCAAGCTGCGCTCCTTCCTCGACCTCATCGACGAGGACCCAAACATTGACCTCGACGGACCCATCAAGCGCCTGCGCCAGGTGCGGCACCTCCCTCCTGCGCCGATGCCCCTGCCGCCCGCTGCCCCGCCGCGCCGCGCCCCCACATCCCACCCTGGCATGCACTTCGCGCCGTTCACAAACCCAATTATCAACCCTGAACCCTGAACCCTGGACCTAAACCCTGAAACCTGCGCAGGCCTTTTTCAAGGAGGCTTACAAGAGCCGCCAGCGCGCCACCAAGGGCGAGGGCGGCGACCGCAGCACGCGCGCGCAGCGCAACCAGCAGCGCACAGACCAGTGGCTCGAGCAGCTCTGCCACGCCATCGTGGCCGAGCAGGTCGGGAACGAGGCGCCTGCCGGCATAGACTATGGGGCCATCGAGGCGGCCGCAGCGGCGGCCGAGGCGGGGCTGACCGGCGAGGATGCGGCTGCGGCGGCAGCGGCGGCGATGGCCAACGCGCAGATGCTGCAGGCGCTGGCGGACGGCCAGGGTGGCGCGGCGGCGCTGACGATCAACGCGGACGGCACGGTGTCCGGCCTGCCGGGTGGCGGGCTCGTTTTCACGCAGGAGCAGCTGCAGCAGTTGCAGCAGCTGCAGCAGCTGCAGGGCGTGGACACGGGCGGCGCGGCGCTGTCCGCGGCGCAGCCGCTGCAGCTGCCGGTGGGGCCGGACGGGGAGCCAATCAACATCACAAACCCGGACGGCACGGTGGACGAGCTGCAGCTGCAGCAGATCATGCTGATGCAGCAGCAGCTGCAGCTGCAGGCGCTGCAGGCCCTGCAGGCGCAGCTCGCGTCGGCTGAGGCGGAGGCCGAGGCGGAGGCGGGCGGTGTGGCGGCGGACGGCGGCGAGGAGGCGGCGGCGGCCGCGGCGGCAGCTGTGGCGGCGGCGGCGGCTGCAGCGGCGGGCGACGAGGGCGGCGTCGGGGCGGCGGCGGCGGCCGGGGATGCAGCGGGGCATGAGTTGAGCGGGGCCGCGGTGTTTGATGCAGAGGCGATGGCGGCGGTGGCTGACGCGGCGGCGGCGCACGCGCCGCCTGGGGACGACCACCACGAAGCGGGCGGGGTGTCCGCGGCGGCGGCGGTGGGGGATGGCGGAGAAGGGCACTGACGCGCGGCCCGCGCCCGCCCCTGGCCCGCGCCGCGCCCGGGCGGCGCAAGGCGGCTCGGGCGCGGCAAACGTGCGGCGCTTGCGGGGGGTCCAGCATTAGGAGTGCGCGGAGTCGACAATTGGAGCACTCGCCGCGGCTTCGTTCTCGGGGCAACCTTTTCCGATAGTGCAGCTCTTTGGTTGACCCTTAATATGCAGGCAGGCAGCCTTGTTTGGTCCCAGATGCTTTTGTGCTCAGAATATGTTTACGGCAGCCTGCGCGGTGCCGGCGCCGCCGCCGTCCCTGCCGCAAGCGGCTTCCCTTTGCCTGCAGGGCCCCTCTGCTTCCAAGCGCCCGCAGGGGCGTGCCGCTGCACCTGCAAATATGCAGACGGTCTGGAATTGGGTGTCGGGGCCGCGCTTGCTGGATGTGCACGCCGCGCTGCGGCGCCAGGGCGCGCATTGCGATGCATGTGCAAGATCCTTGCCGCCCACAGGGCGGCGCGCGGCGCGCGCGCGGCGCCCGTCCCTCTGCCGCTGCTTCCCCGCGCTGCCGCCCTCGCCAGCCCGCCGCGGCCCTTGACCGATTGGCGGGCCCTCCGAGAGCTCCAACATGCGTTGCCATATGCACAGCGGTTGCGCTCCCCAACCCCCAGCGCCGTCGCACCGTTTTGCCGCACCCTTCCTAAGATACATAATCCGCTGCTTGCTGCATATTGTATGTAAATCGTCACATATGCATCCAGTACTCAGTCAATGGGAACCTGCTGCATGCTTCATGGGCCGCTGCTGTGCGCTCCCTCAAGCAGCACATGGGGTGGGCGTTCACAAACACGAGGTGCCCAGGCAGGGGTTTGACATAGACAATTACGCAAGTCATTGAATGTGCAGGATACGTTCACGCGGATGACGTGTCGTGGCAGCTCCTTAGTGACATGTGCTAGACACGACATGTGATAAGGCCCCGCCGAGACCGCCGTTAGCCACTCTGCTATTCATCTAATCTGGGAAAGAGACGACCCGCGCAGGCCCAGGGAAGGCGACTCAGTCCAGACGCAATCGGCAACGACGCATCGCAGCGCGGAGAAGTATCTTGTCACCCCCACCCGCCGTGTTCCCGTGATGGGGAAACAAAACTGCGGCCGGGCGCCCTCACCGCCCGCCAGCCCCCGTGGCCGCCCCCGCTGCCGCCGCCAGCCAGCCGCACGCCTCCCCGCCCTGCGCCGCGAGCCACTGCTGATTCCTGTGCATCGCCTCGTTGGCGCTCTCCAGGAACGTGGGGGACAGGACGCCGGGGCGGGACGCCGCAAAGGCCTTGACGGCCGCGTATGACTCATCGCTGGTGAAGAGCGGCGCCAGGTCGTTCAGGCGGCGGCCGAACGAGTACATTGAGCTGCCCTCTGGCGGTTTTGTTTTGCAAGGGAGGGGTTTCAAGGGTTGGATAAGGTGTGGGAGCCCCGCTTTTTTGTGTGTAAGTTTTTTTGCGTGTGAGTTTTTTGTGTGTGAGTTGGGGGAGGCACGCGCTTTTTTGAAGGGGGCCCCTGTGGGCTGGAGAGCTGTCGCTGGTGGGGCGGAAGGCGGAGGGTCGAGCAATCGGGGGAGGTCGAGGAGTGCACCAAGGCACTGTCTTTGCAGGAAACATGATAAGCAGGGGCACTTGATCGCGGTCATGCGCCGATCCGGCGCACCCATCACGCACCAATATGCGGGCGCGCGTGCCCGCCCACGCACCCACGCATGCACACACAGGCACACAGCCTGCTCCACCTCGGCGCCCGCAGGGCGCTCTGGCTGCGAGGCGACCGCCCCAGGGCCGGCACCGCCCCCTCACCCTTGAACCTCTCGAATATGTCGTCGGCCCTCTCAAACACAAACTCCCACGTAAGGTTGAACGCCAGGCCGCCCTGGCGGCCCACACTGGACACCAATATACCGATGTCCTTTTGGAGGGGGGGGGGAGGGGAGGGGGACGGGGGGTGCGTGCCTATGGGTAAAGGCAATTTCGCAGTGCTTGCGTCAGGGGTGGCAATTGGGCGGGCGTGCAGGCTGTGTGGGCGGCAGTGCACATGCACATGAGGACGCACGTATGCGTTTTGTGTTTGTGTTTGTGTGTGTGTGTTTGTGTGTGTGTGTGTGTGTGTGTG